GTAAAAGCATTAAGGGGCCTATGAATAATTGGGAAACCTCATAAGAATACCAAATTATATCACCCTCCTTCTGCTTGTTCTGCACAGCTAGAAAGCAGCAGGAGCTAGCTGGAAAAATACCTCATTTCACATTAAGTCAGAGGGAGCAGTGTTTCTCTCTTTGCTAGGTTCTGTGGCATCTATTCATTTTGATGGTAAAGACCAAAGTAGGCATACATTCTTGAGTGCCGACTCCAGGTCTCCCCAACTCGTCTCATCAGGGAGTAAGTCCCCTGGGAGTTGATTCCCACTGTTTCACACCATGATGTTTGGAAACAAGATTGGGACTCAAGGAGGAAGAGAGAGGGGACAAGCGCATGGGCACAGGGATTGGTGGGATTGATCCCTCTTTGATTTTTTGGGGCGGAGGACACAGGCTCCAGGAACTCTGAGCTCAGCAGTGGGGAAGGATTAAGTGAAAACCATTTGTAGCTTGGAATTCTGTCAAGCCTGGAGCTTTGGGCCCAGTGCTTTTTCATGCAAGGATGAGGGTGAAGGTATTGCTGGTGCCCAGTTAATAGCCCCTTGCCTCACTATGCATTTATGGCTGGAAGTTGGACTGTGTTAAGTAACTTGGTGGAGCTCGCTCCTGCAGTCTGCAAAAAGTCTGAACTGATGAAACTGCTCAGCTTCTCCAAGCACATTCTGCAACTCTGCCTTACCTCCGATTTTCCAGCGATATCAGACGTGCAGCACTTTTCCCTGGGTGGGAAAGATCTGGATCCCCGCGATGTTTTTTTGAGCACAGAGATAATTATTTGGGGTAGCTGCTCTGATGATAGCTCACACGGAGGCTGAGCCTGCAGCGCAGAGCTGTCTCTAATCATGATTGCCTGTAATGATGATTACCCAAACTCTGGAATTATAACAATAGATTTTGCAAAGTTAGAGCATAATTGCTCCCCCATTCCATATGTGAGCTCAGATTAAGCAACTTTGATCTTTCAGTCAGACTTTTGTTACTCAACTTTGGAAATAGTGGAATTCAGAGTCCTGGCTTTCTGCCACACCCCCTGCACCGCCCCCCCTTAAATCTTAGTGAGGCCCAGGTTTGTTAAAGCAATACACCTGTTAAGGGTAGAAGGGCTAAAGTTGGGTGAAATAGACAGAGTACCTGCCTGTGGCACTCAGGTCTCAGCCCTGCCGTGTAGAAGCCAAGGAAAATCTTCACCCTCCCTGAGACCCGACTTCTTCAGTTGTCAGTACTTAACCTGACTGAATCATTGCATTAGAAATGAACATAAATCCGGGGATTCAGCTCAGTGGTGCCACCACCTGCCTTGCAAGCCCAAGGTCCTGAGTTTGATCTCCGAAACCCCCCCACCACCAAATGAAAGTAAAGTAAACGTAAAGCTCCTAATGGATGCCTTGAACTCACAGACAGTTGATAAAGCTATGCCAGGTCATCGTTATCATCATCATCAAATTCTATTATAAATTTTCAGGCTTTGAGGTCTTCAGAACCTTTCTGAGTCTTTGGAGTTTGTAGTCTCCCTTTGGAGACAGTTCATCTGGAGTTAGTGATCAGGTGTTAGTGGCACTTTCACTAAATTTGACACAGAAGTCTGTAAGGTATTAGTATGAAAGAGGAAAAAAGAAACAGGCCCCCTAAGGGTGGAACACTCCGGCCTGGCCCCGTTTAGTCCCTGTTCAGTAAATGCCCACACCACATTCTGCTGAAAGAAAGGGCTCAGCCTTGAGCGTGTTTTTGAGTAAGGTCTTTCCCCACGGTCTCAAGGTAGAAGGTCTGGAATCACCCAGGATTTGGCATTTTTAGGAGGATCTCTGGCAATTTGGAAACAGGTGTTTCGAGGACTTTCTGTCCCTTCCCGCTGCCCCAACCCAGCTGCTGTTTGCCGCTTCTGTCTGTGAGTCAGTTTGTGATTTAACAACACAATACACTGCTTTGGGGTGGCCCAGCCCAGTGGCCACAGCCAGCAGAGCAGGCCTGACTTTTGTGTGAGGAGAGAGACAGTCACAGAGCCCTTGACTGTCTCAGTGTCTGGTCTCCTCCCCCGCAGCCATCACCACCAAACATCTGTAGTCACCCCCAGTCTGACACTGGCTTAGGGGGCTCAGGCTGGCGCCTGCCCTGTGCTAGCTCCTGCGGGAGCCGCCGGAATGATCAATGAGGCAGCCAGGCCCTCCCCTGGCCTCCGGTGAATCAGCTGCCTCGCCTGGTCCCCCTCCACCGCAGGAAGCACTCGAGCTGAGCCCAGCCAGGGCTGACTCGCGTCTGGCTAATGGCTCTGCTGTGTCGTGCACCAACCTTGTCCCATATATTTTTCATGTGTGAGTGGGCTGGAGCTCCCAGAGACTGTTGGCTGGCAGACATAGCTTTTCTGAATACTCCCACCAAAGCCCTTGAAGGGACTTTGGGATGAGAGTGTCTACTTCTGACAGTCAACACTTTCCCCGAATATTGAAATGAAATTCACATAACATAAAATCAGTCTTTCTCTTTCCTTTTTATGATGCTAAAGATTGAGCCCCGGGCCTTGCCTGTCCTAGGCAAGTGCTCCACCACCAAGCTATTAAGTGCAAATTAATCATTTTAGAGTGAACAATTCAGTGGCATCTAGTTCAATCATAATGTACAACCAACCGCCACCTCTGCCCAAAACACTTCCATCACCCGTAAAGAATCCTTGCACCTATTGTACTAGTTTTTTAGGGCTGCATAATAAAATGCCTCCTCCTCATGGTTTAAACCATGCAAATTTATTGTCTCACAATACTGGAGGCCGGAAGACTGAAATCAAGATGTCCACAGGGTTGTTCCCATCTGTTTCAGGATTGGTCCTTGGCTGTGGGTGGCGCCATCACTTTGAATTGTCTTCCTCCAGGCCTGTCCCTGAGTCCCCTTTTCTCTTGTTTTAGATGAACACTAGTCACATTGAAATAGGCCCGTTCTAATGATCTCATTGTAAGTTGTTTACCTCTATAATGGGCCCAATTCCAAATATGGCCACATTCTGTGGGGCAAGGGATTAGGACTTCACTCTGTGAACTTAGAGAGGGACACACTTTGGCCAATAACATCCATTAAACAGGTTCAATATATTATTAGTACTTTGTTCCTTTTCATGGCTGAATAATATTCCACCACATACAGACATTTATTTTTGGAATAGCAAGTACCAAACACCTGCAAGTGACATTTCCGTGGGTAGGGCTGAGCAGCTGAGTCCCCTGTACCAGGCTTAGGTGCCCAGATATAATAGGTGAAGCGCTGATCTAACAGGTCTCCATAACCTACAAGTCTCCAATCTATGAAGTTGCTGTTGCTGTTGTCTTTGAAGACTGTCAATCTTTGTGAACAAAAGTAAAAGCAGGGTTGGACTAAGGGGAAGGCGGGTAGAGTTTCTGATCTGTTGATTCATTTTGAAATGGATTTTATCCTCTTTCTTCTTCCTGCTGTTATCCCCAGCACTTCTCTTCCCCACCCCCAAGTGCGCAAACACTCACATTCAAAGCACTTTAAAATACGGAGCTTGGGCAGAAGGGCATGGCCCAGATAGGAATCGCAACCTTTTGAGAAGACCCAGCTGCTCACTGGCTCCTGTTGTCATGGTTACCGGGCCCTGTCCCTGGGGCTGGATGCGGACTAGAGACTGTTGGAACTTTTTCGCACTTCTCTTCCCGCACCTGCCTCAGCTTGAGAGAGGGACCTTTGGACCAGTGTTCTCTCAGCTTTGGTACTGACAGCACTGCCGACGTTACATTTCACCCACCTCTTTAATTTAAAATCTGTTTCTGTCTCTTCCACACATAGCGGGGAACCCACATCCCTGCCAGCCAGGGCCTCTTGGGGAGCCACTCTGGCCCCTCCCCCTGTCCCAGAGGCCTCGGTGGTAATGGCACAGTGTCTGTATTGGGTCGCACTGAATCTGCAGGAAGGACCACAGCAGAGTCATGTCACCCTGCCTCCTGACCCTGAGCAGACATGTCCCTCTTGCAAAAGTTATTTTACTCCCTCCTGTCTTCTCCTCCTCTATCAAATTAGTTTTGTCACTTGAAAGTCTCCTAGGGAAAGAAATGCCTGCTGGCTCCATGGTTTTCAGACAGGCAAGAATGAGTGTGGAACAACAGAGGTACAGACAGGACAGAAAGTGTTCCTAGCATTTGTTGCTCCATTTTGTGATTTTTAGGGTAAATCATGAGCCTTCGGAGAGCTGCTTGGGAGACTCCATGCTGAGAGTGGATTGGATAAAAAGTAGTTGAAGATCCTGAAGATGAGCCAGGTGTCGTGGTGCACACCTGTAATCCTAGCACTGGGGAGGCTGAGGCAGGAGGATCACTACATGTTCGAGGCCAGCCTGGGCTACATAGAGATACCCTCCCTCAAAAAAACAAACAAAAAAAAGATGCTGAAGATGGTCCTCAATGTGATGCGGCTTCTGGGACTTGGGTTCTTTCTTAGCCTCAGCCCCTTTCATGGGAGAACCCAGCATGTAGAGCTTTTCAAAGCTCCCAGGTGATCTGATGCCTAGTCACCACCAGTGATAACTGCTGTTCTGAGGGAAGGGAGGAACAAGAGCCAGGCGATGCTGTGCCCTGCAATGCTGCTAATTAGGCACAAAGCAGGACAGAAATAATACACCTTAGGCAGCCTTTGACCAAGCCAAATAGAATGTTAGATCCACTAAACCCTGTAGGGCCAAAATGGAAAGGAGACTTCGGTACCCACTTTCTCTGCTGCTACCCAAAGGCCGGTCTATTACTGACACACACCCCCCCAGCATCTGTGGGGGATGCAGAATGATCACAACGCCGTGCCATTTCTCCGTGCAGCTCACACGGAGCTCTCTTCCTAGCTCTGAGGAAAGTCACATTAGGTCCAACTGGCGGCCGTCTTCTCTTAGCAGAATGTGATTAGCTGCGCCGTGCACCGTGGACGGAGGGGGCTTGTCAGGCTGAGGCTGACTTACCTCTCTGTCTTTTCTCTCTATGCTGTGCAGTACAAAATCGGACAGCTGTACATGATCAGCAAGCACAGCCACGAACAGAGCGACCGGGGAGAAGGGGTGGAGGTCGTCCAGAATGAGCCCTTCGAGGACCCTCACCACGGCAACGGGCAATTCACTGAGAAGAGGGTGTATCTCAACAGGTAGGTCGCGACGGCCCGAGTGCGCCAGGAACGTCCTCCGCATGGCGTGGCGCCCCCTCCCCCAAAGGCTGTGGGGGGGTGCGAGAAACGAGATCGTGTGGAAAGTCGTGTGTCTGCCCTCTATGTCCACCAATCTCATCGCTTCCTAAAACAAAATCCGCCCTGTCCATCACCTGGCATGCAGAGAAATAGACCTCCGCTGCGTTTTCATCAGGAGGCATTTTTGTCTTGCATTTCCTATCCCTTTCATGACATTAGGTGAAATCTGATCTTCAGAATTAAAGAACTTTCCTTTTCCTCTTGCTCAGTGTTAGCTGTGGGAGAAGTGGCTCTGCCTATAAAGAGTGCTGAAGGTGGCAGCGTGCCCTAGGGTCTTGATTTAGTAGAATTTCCACTCACTGGTAAGTGACCACTTAGGCTCCAGTAAAGGGAAATGACAAAATGAACAGTCACCTGTCAGCAGAGTGATGTACTCTTTCTGAGGTGGCTTCCATTTCTCAAGTGGACCCATACTTCCTGTGGTAGAAGTTGTCAGTCTCCACTTGGAGGATAAAGCATCAGGGGCTGTAAGCCAGAATTAAAGAAGACCACCACTGCTGCTTTGCGAAATGTACCCTTTAATCTCTTTGCTATTTTCTCATCACTATGGCCCAACTGACTCTTAGGGCTTCTCTGATCTCCCCACCCCACGTACTCCCACCTAGCCCATCTTCTTCTATTCAGTTAATTTCTGGGTCAGAATACTTTTAGGGAGATAACACATGGAATATATTTTATTGCTGTTTTACTGTCTTCCAGCAATCCAGTCTTGCATTAGTGTTTTCTATGAATACTATCACCCGTTGCCTCCTTGACTGGCCCATTTATGATTGTTCAGAAACATTTCCAACATGCTAGCCAGACAGTGTCCCCCTGCTTACTCTCCGACCCTTCCCCACCCCCGGGAATATTCCGTGTGGCCAGATGGTCCTGGATTCCAGTACTTACACTGGTTCACTGTCCAGCAGGCTGACACAGACCTCTCGGTCCCGATGGGAGACTTTGAGTCCCATCTGCCAGGCTGGAAGGGCATTTTTCAGAGTGGTATTCTGACAGCGAAGGCCTTGGACTGATGAAGCCAATGGGTTTTCATCTGTCCAGGGACATGGTACCAGGGAATTCCTGAGTCATGGTAAAATGGAAATGAGATTGATCACAGGCATCTATTAGAAACTGAATTTTCAGGATTTGGAGTCAGTTCAGCCTCCAGCTAACTGGACCTGCAGCAGTCACTGAACTCTTGGGTTAGGCCTGAAGATGCCTTCCTTACAGAGGCGGATTTCTTTGGTATTCTTAGTGTGGGAGGGTGTGAAGTAAATATTGAGCAGGTTTCCCCTCAGGGATCACCTTTGTTGAGCTAGAAGTGAGGGAGATACAGGGAAATAGAAACTATGGAAAATTCCATTTCTTGGCAGCCGATGACATTCTCTTAACTGACTGCCTGGGGAATGTTCCTTGTATACCAAAATCAAGAAAAATTTTAGAAGCTTTATAACTTGCTGAAACCAAATACATTGTGTCCAGCTGTCTTTGTCATGTCTGTTTTCTCTATCAAAATGTATGATATTTATTTTAAAGGAGAGTCATAAACATTAGTAAGAGGGAAACTTGTTATAAATAGAATATGTGGCCTTCCAGTAATAGTAACTAAGAAGATGAATGTAGACCCTCCCCCACTTCCTATGACAAACACAGGATGAAATAAAACAATATAAAGCTAAGCTAAAAAATAAAAAATTAAATAACAAAGAAAGAGGAAATCCTTGGGTTGTAGGGATAGAGGGGAACTTGAGCCAGCGTGGGAAGCAGAGCGGTGGGTGCTAAGGTGGTGGGGGAACCTCAGAGCCAAGTGTAGGCTCTGGCTTCTGGGGGCGGGGGTGTCAAGCCCATAACTGAGTAGGAAATGTGGCCTCAGGCGCACACAAATGGGGAGAACTGAGAATTGGGCACAGAAACGCCTTCGGACAGTCTAGGGCCAAGAGAAGTTACCACCTAGAGACCCACACTGAAAGAGCTGCTGAAGGATTTAAGAGGAAACCGAACCCAGGAGTATGACAAGGAGCATCTGTTTATTTACACAAATAAACTGATAAGCAATTCTGAACAGACACAGAATGTTTTAAAAACACTAATAATGACTTATTGAGGGTATATTTATAGAGTCTAAACAGTGACACCGAAGATAGAAGAGTAGTGATTATAATAACAAAAGTCCACTGAGATGTTGATATTGTTTAGGAATTGGAGATATCTGTTTATTATTATTATTATTATTATTATTATTATTTTTGGTACTGGGGTTCGAACTCAGGTCCTTGTGGTTACAAGGCAGATGGTGGAACCACTGAGCTAAATCCCCAGCCCTGTTTATTATTTTAGACTTCTTAAGGCAAGGATGTATATTTAAAATGTAAAGTTAATCCCTGATCCCCAGCACACACACTGCTGTGAACCCAGGGCCTTCGCAATGAGCCACACCTCCAGCCATTTTTCAGTGTTTATTTTGAGAAAAGTTCTCTCTAAAATGCCCAGGCTGTGTTTGAACATGCGATTCTCCTGCTGCAGCCTCCCAAAGTGCTGGAATTACTGGCTCACATCATCTTTACTTTTACCAAACAAAAGGTAACTTCTGAAGGACTATTAAAATAATAAATCACTTTTAAAAGAAAACATGAGCAATCCATAGAAGGCAAGAGACTAAAGAGAGAAGCTCAGTGACAGCCTGTTTGCCTCACCATACACAAGGCCTTGGATTCAACCACCAGCGCCACAAAAAATAAAGAATGGAAAACATAAATTTTAATGGCAACATAAGTCAAAACATAGAATACTCACTTCCGCAGTCACCATGTGACCTAGTTCCGGCCAATAGAACAGAAGATTTCCCACCCTCATTTAGAAAAAAAGGGAGGAGGAGGAGGAGGGAAAAAAGGAGAAGCAGGAGGAGAGGGTAGGGGGAAGGGGGGCAAAGAAAGCTTGATGGGGCAATTAACTCCCAACATGTCAGATGTCAGATGTTCCAAGTTCATGGTCTCACAACATCAAGGAATGAAGTCATCAACCAAAAGAGGAAGTTAGGAGACTTTTATTGGAAATAAGGAAAAGGATATGTCCTGGATTTCCAGGTGGGGTCCTGAGTGGGTAGCCACTGGAGCTCTTTGTTGAGAGTATTTCATACAGCAAAGTCACAGCATGAGTACAACGTGGTCAAACTACCATCAACCTATAATATTACGAATACAGTGGCTTGGCTAATACTGATCCAATAGGGAAACAAGCCTCATAGGAAGAGAAACTGGAAAGAAAAAAAGGCATCCCTGGAAAGGGGTGGAACTGTGGCTCCAGATGTTCTGGTCACCCGCCCATGCACCTGATGCCTGTCTGAGCCCTCTGGACCCAGTGGTGCTAATTACAGTATAATCTCAACCTGCTGTTTATCTCTAGGGAGACTCACAGGCCTGGCTGTTACATGTCCACCTTGAGGCCTGGCTCTCTTTGGATCCTCCTCCAGCCACAGTTTGGAGGTCTCTGTCTTTTGCACTGACTCTCTCAAGAGCCCAGTCACTCTTGACTGTCAGTTAATTTCTGTCTAACTTAGCTGTGTATAATAAAAGGAAGAAAGACACCCTGAATTCTTGCAACGTTATTTCCCAGTTGGTTGAAGCCGAGGCCAAAGTATGTCCACTTCACAGGATCAGTTGTTTATGTTATTCGTATCAGTGTTTTATTTATGGAATTTTAATAAGACAACCATCAGTAAGGAAAGTAGAAGGAAAAGAAAGGACAGAATGGAGGGAGACTTCTAGAAAGTCATATAGTGCTTACCATATGAGTGCTAATAACAAAACTGTGTAGTAAAAGTACAAAAAAGAAATTATAAATCAGTCTCAGCTAAAACATAGACGTAGAAATCCTGCATAAAACATGAGCAAATCAAACAGCTCATAATAATAATGATAATGATAAATTATTACCTCATCAGATTTATCCCTGAAATTCATTACATTAACTTTTAATAAATCTGTCTATGTACTTGTCCACAGTAGGGTCAGGAACAAAGTAAGAATCACTTCTTTCAAACATTGTGTGACGGGCCTAACTAATGCTCATACCAAGAATGAGCAGGGGTTGTAGCTCAGGGTTAGATGCTTGCCTAGGCCTTGAATTCGATTCCCCAGCAACAACTATATACAGGCAATAAAGAGATAAAGAGGAGGAGATAAAATTATCAGTTACAGATAAGATTGACTAATGGAAATTTCAGACATCCCAGGGAATTGCTAACATTAATATAAGAATCTGGTGAGATTGCTGGGTGTATATCTAAATATAGAGATCGACAGCATCATTGGACAGCAAGAAGAAAAAATGCAGAAGTGTAAATTTTTAAAATTCCATTTACAGTAGAAAAGAAACTATGGATACTATGTGATAATCCAAGATGTGCAAAAAAATGTTTTTGGAGGAAAAATATAAAGTGCTTCTTGCGGCCATAAATCCTGAGACAGGTGGTGAGATATATACCATATTCATGGATTGGAAATGCTGTATTATACATTTGGCATCAATTTCCAAATCAGTCTACACATTTAATGCAATCTAATTAAAACGTCAATTTTTAGGGGCAGGGATTTGGCTCAGTGATTCCATCACCTCCCTTGCAAGCGAAAGAGGCCAAGTTCGATTCCTGGTACCAAAAAAAAAAAAAAAAAAAAAAAAAAAAAAGTCATTTTTTAAAAAGAAGAATTGAAGAAGATGATCCTAAAATTCAAATGAACAATTTTGAAAAGTTGAATAAGTAGGAGGGACTCATCCTAATGGATATCATGGCTTTTGCTAAAGTTATAGTAATTAAGGCAGTGGCATATCAGAGCAGCATTGTACAGTCACACAACATAATCATCTTTATAGCAGCATGATTTATAATACCTAGCTCTTGTAAACAACTCCTGTCTATCAAC